ATCTGAATCCATGTTATCAAGGGAATGGTCTTTCCCAGGCCAAAACTCCTCAAGATTCTTCACCAAAGCTGAAATAACTTGAAGACCTTGGGTGGATTTCTACTTGTAAAATGTGGGAAGCCTGGGGAAAGGCAGACCTGAGAAGCTGGAGAGGGAAGGGATAATGGTGGCTTTCATCCAGATCTGTGACCATATGGATTGGAACAGATCCATGATTAATCAGGTCTCACTGCTAAAGAGATCAGTCCAAGGTAACTACACACTGCAGTTAACATCCCAAATTTGGGGACAACTGGAGAGATTTGAACAGCTACTTCATCCTAATTCATAAAGCAGGTTTAGCATAGGCCCTCTTGCCAGCATTTCCCAGCCCTTGGTTGATTCTGTTCCTTACTGCTTCACATTGAACAATCCACTCTCTGGAACCCTCTTGATATTTCTGTATTCACTCCCCACCCAGTCTTATGATTTTGCTTACTCTTCCCTATACTTGCAAAACCCTCCCCACACATCTTCAGCTTTCCAATCCTGCCAGGTTTCCAGGGCCTATCTGGAAGAACAGACCTTCTAGAACACTTTCCTGAGCCTCTATCTATAGTCATCTTGCCTGCTCGAGGGCACAATGGACAGATATATGGAAGGTGCTTGGTATGCTGAAAGCACCCAACATTTGCACAATTTTATCTAAAATTGGGTTGGGAATTTCTGGTGATTCACATCAAAACTTTGGGCTTAGTGATGGGGGCAAGTAATAAAACAAATTTCTTCTGGAAGATTTTATTTCCTATTAGGAAGGCAGCAAACCACACTGCCATGTGTGTACCTACGCAACAATCTTGCATGCTCTTCACATGTACCCCAAAACCTAAAATGCAATTAGAAAAGAAAATGCCATTTATGTCTCACTTGGTAACTAAAGCTTTCATATACACAAGACTAAGTCAGCTCTTCTTTCAATTATCTAATTTATTATCCAAACATGTGCTCTAAATTTTGATTCAGAAAGTATTGTTCCTGAATGTACCCCTTTGCCTAATATAAGTCCCGAGTTATAATATAAGATGTCCTTTTCACAAAGCTAAGTCATTCTTTGGAGGACATTAAACGTTACTTAGCCTGGGATCACACCCAGCATTCCTGAGTAGACCTCTGTGCTTCACTCCTAATATAGTACTATAGAAAAGGGTTTGAATTCATATACAGAATCTGAAAGACATTCTATCAGAAGACTGCGTCTGGGAATGAAGCACTTGCAATTAAGCCTCTGTCTCTGAATTGTTAGCCCAGATAATTTGTAATCGCTAAACCTGGGTAAGCAAATGTTCCTGTTCCCTGGGGCCACAAGGTGCCTGGTCTAAGCCTCAACCAGGTGCCCATTAGTTCATCCAACAAACACGGATCGACCACCTGGGGCCCAGAACTTGTTTCCTAGAGACTTCTTCTGTCTGTTCTTTCTTGAGGATAGCTCCTTTCTTCTCTTGATGCAAACTATCACCACTCTTGGAAAAAGTGAACAGATGTCTCTGCAGAATGCTTTCTTCCTCCTTTTAGTTCTCATTCTCAAGATCTGGTCTCTCCAGACATCTCCTGGTTATGTTCTATAGTATTTAAAAATTGCATGCCAGGGAGCCTCCTTTTGGTAAGATTGAGAATGTTTGTAGTAAAGCATACCCATAATACCTGTTCTCCTTTGGTAGCCTTTCTATCTATCCATACCAAAGATCAGCTAGAGAGAAACACTAGGCCACTTTAGCTCAAACCGATTGCCCCTTATAACCTATAGCACTTATTATCTCAGTCTTTCATTTTCCAAGTTGAATGTCCAGGATTATCATCTACCTCACTCATTCTGTATTTATGCAACTTCTTCTATGAACAAGGCACTGTTTTAGGCCCCTTGGGGAGATAAAGATATGAACAAAACACAGTTCCCATCATTAACTAATTACCTCCTAGATCCCAGGTACCATGATAAGCTCTAGGATACAGTGGTTGGCAAAAACAGGCATAGCCCTTTCCCTCATGGAATTTACTAGTGAGGGACGCAGATGGGGAGCATGTGTGTTGTGTTCCCCACTGTATATCACATGGCACAGTCAGTACCCAATAAATATTTGTTGAGTGAAAACAAATGACCAAATACATCATGATAAATTGTGAGGTGCTATGAATTCAGGAAAACAGGAAACAGTGATAGCATAATAGGGCAGATGGAGACAAAAGGCTGCCAGGGAATGCTTGTCTGAGGAAGTGACACACCAAGACCTGAAGGCTGGAGACTAGCCAGCTATATGCCAACACTGGAGATGAGAGCATTCTAGCGGAGGGAGCAGTATGGGGAAAGTATGCTTGGGGAGAGGGAAGAGCAGGGTAAAGTCTCTGAAGTAAGTAAAGCTTGACATGTGCCCATAGGAAGACTACAGTGAGCCAGGGGGCAAGTCATATCTGAAAAGAGGTGGCAAGAGACGAAGTACAAGTAGGCAGGGGCCTTGTAGGATACTGTAAGCAGTTTGGATTTTATTCTAAGTGCCAATAAGAAGTCATTTAAAAGTTTCAAGTGGGGGAATCACATGATCTATTACTTATTTAAAAAAAAAAAAAAATCATTCCGTCTATAGACAATTGTAGGAACAAGAGTAGAAGCAAAGACTCCAGCTAGGAGTTATAGTATCCCATGGGAGATCATGGCAGTTTGGACTAAGGTAGCTGTAGTAAAATTGAGGAGAGTGAAGGCATACTTTGGAGGTAGAACTGATAGACTTGTTGACTGGCTGGATGAGGGGAGTGAGAGAAGAGGAAAATTAAGGATGACTTTCAGGTTTCTAGCTTATGCAACTGGATGAGTAGGGGTGCCATTTTCTAAGATGAGGTAAACTTAGAGAAGGGGAACAGCCCCAGGGTGTATCGCTGTTTATTTTTAATGAGGCATGTAAGTGTAAACGTCAAGTAGGCACAGGACAAGGATGTTTGTGATAAAAAGCCTTATAAATAATACAAAACTTAAATGTTTACAGAGAAATTTTGTGTCTAGCTGGGTTAATCAGAGAAGTTTGCAGGAAAAAGTTGGCATTTGAGCCAAAGGAAAGATGATGAGGGAAAACATTCCAGGCAAAGGGAATAAAATCGCACAGGTGGAGATGCAAAGGCATGTTCAGAAACTGGAAAATCATTCAGTTTAGATGGAATGTGGCTTGTATCTGGAATGTTACAAGATGACTGCAGAAAGGGTGATTGAAGCCAGATCACAAAGGGCTTTGAGCACCATCCTTGGGAATCTGTATTGTACTTGGTGGGCAATTGGGAACACTAGCAAGTCTTTGAGCAGAGGCCTGACCTGATGAAGTTGTTAAAAAACAAAATTTGGTAACACTGAGTATGGTGGATTGGGGAGGGAGAACAGGAGGCAAGGGAGGCCATTTAAGAATTTATTTAGATCATCAAGGGATGAAGTAATAAGTTATTTTAGTAATAACCTAAACGTTGATCATGGTAATGGAAAGCTAAAGGGCAAATTTGGGAGACATTTCAAAGGGGAACTATGCTTATGTTAACCTAACAGGAAAGCCAGGAGGAAGCATCTGCTTTTTCCTTCTCAATGTCTTTTGAGAAGACATTGAGATCATAACCACACTAGATCATAACCTCTGGTAAGGCTGGGAGATACTTTGCAATCTTTCCACAGTGGGATTTAACACTATCAAGCAAATCTCTTGCTGGCATGGCTTCGTAGTAAATAGGTAAAACGAGGTAACTCTGGTATTGAAGTGAATGGACTCACACAGAGAGTGGTGCTGGAAAAAGGAGTGTGGGCTCAGGACCACAAACCAGGGAATGGGCTAAAAGTAAACACTAGAAAAGATGAGTTCAAATTTCCTACCTTCTTCCCTTTAAAGCCTCACTGCCTACCCACCTTCCTACTCTGATCCCTTGCTCACCCAACAAACACACAGGCAGAGCCTTCAATGGTCTGAATTTTCTTCCTGCAGCAGACTCTCATCCGCACTCTTTTCTGTGCCAAGTCTCACATGCTCACAGCCCCCATCTGATGAATACATCTCACTGAAAGCATGGCTGAGCATGCTCCTCTTCCCTCAGCACTATTTACATTTAGACAACTGCGTCCTTGACTGTCATAATCCAAATGTCTAACATGAAAATTCATCATATGGCAAGCTAGAGCTGGGGTGAGGTGGAGGGCAAGGGGCCAGGGGATATCTTTAAGTACTCATTCTAATGACGAAGCCAAGATCTGGCCTCCCCTCATTCCCTGCAGTCCCACTGGGGTGTCTACAATAGACCCCCTTTCAAAGGAGGGAAAATTAATTTGGAAAAGTGTTCTGAAGTAACTATGGAGGAGAAACAGAACAAATATCCAAGACATTTCCTCTGGACTAGCTAATCCTTTTGCCACTGCTTGATCCCAACTTCCTTTGATTGTTTCTTCTCTACTTCCTACTTTTTACTGTTGGTATACTTTTATGTGTTCATTGTTCAATGTCTTTTGAAAAATACCTTGAATTCTTTGAAGAGTATGTGCTATATAAACACAATAAAAAATGAATACAATGTCTCCTTTTACAAGAGAATATGTTTTACTATTTCTGTTAGTATACCCCTCACTCAGCATTAGCCTGAAAAGTTCCAAGGGACATCAGATAAGATTGCACTCTAAAATACTTCCCCAACTGCCTGAAATTCCATTCATTTGACGATAAATATATTTTTAAATTTAAACCTTGTAGGTTTGCTGTTTTTCAAGAATCCCTTCTTAAAATGTGAATACCAAAGCGGGTGAGTGGATCATGATACAATCTTAGCTCCCTTTACAATAACCCACCATTCCTATCAAACACATTTTTCACATTCTGAATTTTTCTATGCCTTTGTTTATGCTGTTCTTCTTCCAGAGGTAATGCTAAATTTAATATAAATTAGAAATGTAACATTACCTGATATTTTCACATAAACCCTCATTTGATATTCAAATTCGAGCCTACTTGATCTTTTTAAAAACAATTTATTTTTTTCCAACGGAGGAAGAATAACAAGTTTAATATAGAAAATTTGAAAAAGGCAAGAAGATAGGAAGAAGAAAAATGTCAGCCATAGTCCTAACACCTAAAGATCACTCATTGACAGTGTGGCCAGGCTCATTTTTTAAGCCTTAATTTAGGTCCCATTTCTGGTGTGGTGCCTTCCTTGAACTTCCTCCCTCAGATCTTCACTGTTACATCTGTGCCACTCAGTCGTACATATCATACACCTCTGTGTATAATGTGATGTATGTCTTACATCTCGAACTAGATTGTTACACCTTCGAAGGCTGCAAACATGAGTTATACGTGTTAGCTTACCTAAAAACAGCTGGTACCCAGTATCTGCTGATTGATTTAACCTTCATGCATACAAATGATTTCAGAAAAGATATAAAATAGACCACGTATCCAGGTCATGAAAATTAAAGCTTTCAGGTCACCGACCTTGGTGACTATTGCTTTTCTATTCCAAGACTTGAAAGCCTATTTAAACTGGCCTCTTTCTCCACACCAAAACTGATAAGAAGCAGACTTGTTATGAGCCAGGATTTACACAGAGATTCTCTATATAAGGCATAAAGGTAAGAGAGAGAAAGAGAGAGATGTGGGGAAGGGCGGGAAAAGAGAACAGACAGAAGACAAGAGAAGGGTATACAGTCTGGTGCTCAATCCAGTATGTGATTTGCCTCCAACACCGTGTACAGGATCCCATCCACTTGTTCTGAATCATACCCGATCTCACGAAGGTCCAAGTGAGGGAGGACAGAAGTAAGGAGATAGCTGACGTGGATACGGAGCCGTGTAAGCTTTGCCAAAGCCCTGTATGATGGAGTGAGGGGGCAGGAGAAGAGATGACATGAAGTCATTAACCAACAGAATAAAATGAAGCCCCCTTCCAAATGGAGCCACATTTCTCAACAGTTACATTTTCATTAGCTAGAAAGAAGAAAGCACAATGCCACCAAGCACAGGGAGACTGGCTGCAGCTTTCTAAGAAGTAATTACCCAATTCTTGGTGGCCTGTGAATTAAGGCTTCTTGCCTTGTCTATGGCCAGTAACTGGGGGTCCTAAGGGATGCTTCCCATTAGCACTCACAAACTGATAACTAAACCCTAGTAATTAACCTTTCTAGGTCATCTCCCTCTGGGGTCCGGTAGGAGACCTGAGCCTTCTGCAGCATTTCCAGGTGTGTCTCTGTCTCCCTCAGTTTATCTTTCAACTCTTGCTTTTCCTCTTTGGTTCTTTCCAGCTCAGCTTTCAGAATCTGGAATTCAGCTTGGCGATAACCCATGTGTTTCTTGCTCCAGTACAAGCCTTCCGCATCCTGGGTACTGTAGATCACCAATTCATGTTGGACTTTCTTGAATTCAGACTGCCAGTGATTCCTCTCCTGTTCCAGCTCCTCCACCTGCAGTCCAAGAAACAGAAATTCAATGACCCCACAAAAGAATGTGCCAAAAACTTACTCATATGATCACCCTGTGATTCCACTATACATATTCTTCTACTTATGGACCTCTTCAATACCATGAAATGGGCAGGAAGCCTACTACAGTTACTCTATCTTAAACACATCACAGAACAGTTCAAGGGTATATTTTGTTTAAAGGCCTCAGAACATGAAATCATCAGGGCACCAACGTCCTGGTCCCTTGGTTACAATGATCTGTTATTCCTAGTGGTAAGGTATTACCCTAACCTTTTGCTGGAACAAATTCCTTTCAGCCAAAACACGTTCCAATTTTTCTGTGGTTCTCTTCAATTCTTCCAGCTCTCTCTGGTTCTTTATCTTTGGTGTATTACAACCTTCACTCTCCTCATAGCCTCTTCCTTTCTCCCCAGTGGCTGCAGCCGGGATTGCAGCAGAGGCCACAGAATAAGGCCCTGGGTTCCAGGATTCAGTTGCTTTTCGTCTCTCGGCAAGCTCCTCTCTGTTAAAAGGGATCAGCTGAATGGGAGCTCCTGAATCTCTAACACCTTTGGCAACACCAACAACAGCTACAAAAGGTCCTTTGTTCACTTCTTCTTTGTTTATGCTCGTGCTACCTCTGTTAGATTCTTCTGCCACCAATCTTGGCATCTGATCTTCTAATTCTTCAGGAAGCAGGGACCCCTGACGTTGGTCTTGGGCCCCTGGATACAGAATTGAAATATCTCTGTTTTGACCTGTATTCTTGCTTGCTTCTGGGTATTCTGGGAAAAGGTATGGTGGTGTACTTCTCTCAGAACTCGATTTGTCATTGTTCTCTCCTTCTGGGTAGGCAACAGCTGCCTCTACCCTCCTGTAAGGAGCAGGCATGGAATAATCTAGAACAGGTGTTGTCATCTCATTCTGGAGCCTTCTTCGTTTCTCCACTGGTTCCTCACCTACGATCCATTTGTGCTTACTGCAAGAAGAGGAAATTAAATTGTAAGCTGTCGCAGTACAGGTTAAGTATGTTCTGATCCTATGGAGCCCCAACTCAAACTTGCCATATTCAAACGGGCTCTAAACATTACTCACAGACACCTTCAGGTCAGGGATACTTTACCTGCAATCCTCAACCCTTCACTAGTGCAATTGGTATTAAGGAAGAGGTGAAGTTGAAGATGTGAATAGGCAGCATCTGGATATAACAGGATTAGGTTGACCTTGGTTAAGAATTCTAAAAATAAGATTGCGACCGGTCTGACTTAGAAGTGTCCTGAATATGCAAGTCAAGAAGGAAGACAAAGAAAAAACATATACCCCAAATCTCCTAATACAAGAATGGAATGCAAAGGCCATAAAAAGCTTAGCAGAGTATGCAGAGAATAGTGCCAACTGATTAATTTTACAGTGACGCAAAAGCCTTCTAGTATCAAAGACTTATGCACATTTTTATATTGCAGCAGAACCACACAATTCTTTACACAGCCCACTGGATTGTGGCTATTGCCCATTATTCACTTGTAAAAGTTAATTGAATCGCAGGGGACTTTCTGAAACAAAGAAAGTGAATCAGCCAATTCAAGTCATTTCCCCCTTGTGACAAAGAACTCCCATACTCAAGCACAAGCAGACACTCCCTGAGTTCTGCAGGAAAGCTCATGATGATGGCCTCAAATCATCTTCCACTTCTGGCTGCTGTATGCCCTAGGGGTTAAAAGAACTAACAAAACGACTGGCACTAGAGAAATGCATAGGCAATTTTTAATCACATGGGAACCCCATTTTTATCCTTAAAACTATTCAGCCCTCTCTCTGGATAACCAAGACATTTCAAGATCAAATCAACTTTCAAATATTTAATGAGAAAGCATCAGGCATATGATCTGCCACCTCATAGTACCTCAAGGCTGGCCATATTTTTCTGTACTTTCTGAGAATATCTGTAAGATAAACCAAACTGTGCCTTCTTATAATGCCCGTATGTTCTTCAGAAATACAACTGATGTGCCATCTTTTTTTTTTTTTTTTTTTTTTGAGACGGAGTTTTCGCTCTTGTTACCCAGGCTGGAGTGCAATGGCGCGATCTCGGCTCACCGCAACCTCCGCCTCCTGGGTTCAGGCAATTCTCCTGCCTCAGCCTCCTGAGTAGCTGGGATTACAGGCACGTGCCACCATGCCCAGCTAATTTTTTTTTGTATTTTTAGTAGAGACGGGGTTTCACCATGTTGACCAGGATGGTCTCGATCTCTCGACCTCGTGATCCACCCGCCTCGGCCTCCCAAAGTGCTGGGATTACAAGCTTGAGCCACCGCGCCCGGCCGATGTGCCATCTTAATAGATCTTGTCATGTTAGCCTTAGGTAAAAGCAAAAAAAGACTTAGGACCTATGTAAGGACAAATATATCCATCTTTGAACATGTATAAGGACTACTATGATGGTCCATTCAGCTGTGGTACTGAAGAAGACAGTAAAACAATCAGCTGGCAGGTACAAAGGAAAGGTGTATAATACTATATAGCAACAACCAACCTTGTACAAAGCTATTATAGTCAGATTATTTGCCTTCTCTTCATTTTCCCACCTCTAAGGGTTCTGTCTTTAACTGTCTTCTCTTCTAACCCTGTGTTTCTTCTCTTTTGCAGTCTTATACAACCTCTTGGCTACAACCTCTGGGCAACAATTCCCATATTCTGCCAAACCCTGACCAAGGACTGAATTTCCAATTCCCTGTCACACATGTCTTCCTGGAGGTCCCACTGGTATCTCAAATTCAGTATGCATAAAACCAACCTTTTACTTTCACCTTCAAACCTGCTCCTTTTCCCTATGTTTCCTATTTGTGTTATAACAGCACCAAACTTCAGTAATATTTATATAGTAGTTTTAGACATTATCAATCTTCAAGTTCAAGCTCTCGCTACCTTTCCTGGACTGCAATGGCTTCCTCCTGTCTCCAGTCTCCCTTCTCTTACCTCCAGATCACTGTACCAAGCTAATCTTCCTAAAGCACTGCTCTGATTATGCTACTCCTCTATTCAAAATCTTTATCTATTGCTCCCCACGACATAAAAGCTTATATGTCTTAGCTCAGTATCAAAGCTTTTCCATACCAAAACGTAGGAAACATTTACTGAGCACTTACTCTGTACCAGACCATGTAAGAAGTGCTTAATGTGTATTGTCTCATCTAATTCTCCCCATAAACATGAAGCAGGTGGGATTATTTTCTCCATTGTTTTAAGGGGATGATCAGGAAGAAGTAAAGTAACTTTCTCAAGGTGCCTAGTAAATACCAGAGCTGGGACATAACTGGGCCCTAGCTTTCTCTCTCATTACTCCCTTCACTAACATCAGTCAAACTGGATGCCCTGTGATTCCTCATGCTGCTCCTTCTGACGAGTGTCCTTCTTCTCCCCAACAGTGCATGTGTAAATCTGGCTCAAACGCTACTTCTGAATTCCTATAGCACTTGAAGCATTCTCTTATAAAAATGCATCACTTCCTACCGTGTGAAAGGGAGTGGGAGTGTGTGCGTGTGTGTTTAGTGTCTCTCCTAGGTACCTTACGGAAGTACAAAAGTATAAGTTCCTACACAGAAGGGAGTTTAATTAACCATGCCAGATGGAAATGAGGGAACAAAACTTTCACATAAGAGGCAATCAAAAAAGGAACTATTATGTGAATGAGGGAAAATAACCAGATTTTACTTATTGGTTCTATACTTCTCCAGAAAGTCTGGCAAGTCCTTCTAGGAATCAATTCTCATGCCAGACTTGTATTCACTCATTGAGTAGAGATTAATTAGGGGTTTTACATACCAGAAATTCTTCAACTACACAGTTCCCTCTTATTTTGTTTCTGCTTTTTGTCATATTCCTCATTATGTGCATTTATGCAATTTATGGTGCATTTTGGGTTTTCTCCTTTAAGTGTTTTACATTTTCTGACATACACCATGTTTCTGCTCCTTCAAAATGCCTTCTGAGAGGCTTCTGTAATTAACCACTATCAGTTTTGTACTGTTTCACTAACCAAGACAGAGAATTATACATTCAAATTAATATATTTCATTTTTTACTCACTCATTTCATAAATGTTTCCTACTATGTTTAAGGAACTGCTATAGGCAAGAATAAGGACCAAAAATCACAGCCCTGTAAGAGTGTGTATGTACTCCTTCCAGATGATGTATTTTTCAACATATTTACTGAGACAAAAATCTATAAATCCACTTATTTAAGGTGTACAATTCCACAATTTTAGTATTCTCAGAATTGTGTAACCATCACCACAATCTAAGTTGCGAAAATATACACCATCCCACAAGAAACCTCCTACACATCAGCAGACACTCCCCATACCCCCACTAGGCCGCTAATCTACTTTCTGTCTCTATAGATTTGCCTATTCTAAGCATTTAATATAAATGGAATAATAAAACATATGGTCTTTTTAAACTTGCTTCTTTCACTTAAATGGAATGATAAAACATATGGTCTTTTTTAACTTGCTTCTTTCACTTAACATGTTTTCAAGGTTCGTCCATGTTGTAGCACATAATCAGTATTTCATTCCTTTTTATACCTACATAATAGTCCATTGTATGAACAGGCCACATTTTATATCCATTCATCAGCTGATGTTTATTTAAATTGCGTCCACTTTTTTACCTACCACGAATGACACTGCTGTGAACATTAGTATACAAGTTTTTGTATAGATATATGTTTTTAGTTTTCTTGGGTATAAACGTAGGGGTGGCATTACTGAGTCATACAGCTTTCTGTTTAACATTTTGTGAAACTACTGAAATGTTTTCCACAGCAGCTGCAACATTTTGCATGTATACCAGCAAGCGATCCTCTCATCTCGGCCTTCCAAGTCGCCGAAACTACAGGCATACACCACCAAGCTCAGCTAATTTTTGTATTTTCTGTAGAGACAGGGTCTTCCTATGTTACCCAGGCTGGTCTTGAACTGCTGGGCTCAAATGATCCTCCAGCCTCAGCCTCCCAAAGTGCTGGAATTACAGGCATGAGCCACCATGCTGAGCTTCTTTCTTCAATTGTAATATAAGCATCTAAAAATATAATTTTCTTTCTCAGTACTTCTTTAGCTTCACCCCACAGTTTTCATATATTTTAATTTTCATCTTTTCGATATATTTTTTAATTTCCATTGTGATTTTTTCCATTTGTTTTCGAAATTAAGATGTGTCATTTAATTTCCATATATTTGTGTATTTTCCAAATTTCCTTAGATTGTTGATTTCTAATGTAATTTCTAATTTAATTATATTGTGATTGAAGAACATCCTTTGTATTCTTTTTAAATTCACTGAGGTATATTTTACGGCCTAACATACGGTCTATCTATCCTGGAGAATATTTCACGTGCATTTGAGAAAAATATATACTGTGTTGTTGTTGAGTGAAGTTTTCTCTATGTATGTCAGGTCTAGTCAGTTCAGAATGTTCTTGAAGTCTTCTATTTCCTTGATGATCTTATTCCTAGTTGTTGTGTCCATTACTGAAAGCAGGGTATTGAAGTCTTGAACTATTATTGTTGAATTGTCTATTTGTCTCTACGATTCTGTCTGGTTTTGCTTTGCGCATTTCTGGAGCTCTGTAGTTAGGTCCACATGTGAGTATAGTTATTACATCTTCCTGATGGACTTTATCATTATGAAATGTCCCTCGCTATATCTAGTAGCATTTTGTATTTAAAAGTCTATTTTGTCTGATACTAGTATAACCATGTTTGCATGGTAAATCTTTTTCTATCCTTTTACTTTCAACCTATCTGTATCTTTGTATCTAAGTGTGTTTCCTACATACTTTTTAAAAGTACAATCTGCTATCTGTCTTTTGATTGGATTGTTTAATGCAGTCACATTTGATGTTACTGATAAGGTAGAATTTATATATATGCTATTTGGTTTTTTAAATTTTCTATACGTATCATGCCTTCTTTGT